CCCTGTGTAGATTCATAAAGACTACAGTAAATGCAATATATCACAGTCAACTTCAGTGTAAATATTAATACATCTATCTCCGGCAGTAGTGGGTGTATTGTAAAGATAAAATACCACAACAAAATGCATGAAGAATGCAACAAGCTATATACGAGCTTCTACAATCCAAGGCAGGAGATTAGTTAGTGCACTATGACCCGCCTACGAAAATCAACAAATAGTGCACGACAGTCTACCTGTACGAAGCAGCGAACAAGTCTATTCAGAAGCTGCTACGCCACGCCACCGGATCTGCAACATTCATACAAGCAGACAGAAGGAGTCTATTCCAAGAGTAACCCCTGCACGTGCACTATAAATTGTATACACATAGGTACACTAAAGGGGAAAATACAATCCAAACCCGAATGGGCCCGACGAGCGTGTTATTGGTACACACGTGATGTCAGGGATGCTGCGCGGGTTGACAAGTGAATTCAGGTTCGAAACTGATCCTTCTATACGGGTCAATAGAAGTCGACAGGGTTCGAACCATTAAGCAAATATAAAGTTGTGACGACCGATATATTTGCTTTAAAACTTTCATATTAGGTCTTCAAGGCCTACAATAATATGAATTCACTATCAAAGGGCACGAAGCCTACAAAACCCGATCCTTTGTCAACAGCCCGACAGAGTTGACAAGGTTCGATCTACAAGGAGAAATGGCTCCGAACACCCCGATGATGGCCGTGTTGAATGCAGAGCTCAACCGGAGGGGTCCCCAAATACTTTCAAGTGGCTTTCAAAATCTATTTCAAATATTTCATAACTCCACCCAAATATCCACAAAAATCCTAAAATTCCAGAAAACTCCACAAAAATCTCAAAAATCCCAAAAATATTTAAATTGAAATCTACCATCCACACTTAAGCAAAGCCCATCCACCTTCCGCAACAGTCTGCCGGGTGGAACAAATTCAAATAAACTCTAGCTCACAAAAGAGCCAAATGCCTAGTCGAAAAATCACTAAGATCCATTCTCAAACAATCTCTTGCAATAAGGACGTGGTACGTGTCCTCTAACCGGCAGTTTCGCCGCCAAAATGGCACTGCAGTAAACGGCTATGACCCGGGGCCCTCTGAACCGAGTGGTTTTGCCGCCAAATGGCACCACAGATAGCGGTTATGGCCAGAGCCAATACGCTCCTTAATGGCGTTAAATCCTTGAGATATGAATCAATATGATATGATCGATAGGGCACAAAGCCCTCTGTTAGCTAAGGTGGATTTAAATTTGTCCCCTTAGACAGACATTCAACCCCGGTCTACAAGGTCTCCTTGGACGAAGCAACCCATGGCTGCTGATAAGGATCCTTCTGTCAGGTTGGGTCGACTACCTCCTCTGACTAAGTAGGCCAGGGACCACGATGGCCCGGGACGACGGAACCATGGGATCTTGATCGGGCCCATCATCCATTCCCCCACCATCCGCTTTAAGTGAAAGATGGTGAAATTTCTATTTTAAATATTAAATCTTTCCAAATATCCAAATATCCAAATTCACGAATCCAAATCCAATCTATGCTGCTACTATATGCCAGATGCACGTATCTCTATACGAATCTGATTGATGACTAGCCTTAATCGAAAGTTCTCTCTCGTGATCGGGAGGGGTAATTAACTATAGGGGCTTGCGCCTATAGGAAACCAGAACTCAGATCATAAAGTCCTCACAAAATGAGGGCGAAATCTCTGGGTAGTGTCTTATCTACAAACCCATTTGCCTTCCAAAATTTACCTCGGAACTTAGTTCGTTAAAACTCCCTCACCGAATAAGAAAAGCGAGCGGAGGCCGAGGCCGAATTTTCGGAGCCCACATCTCTCTCTCTCTCTCTCTCTCTCTCTCTCTCTCTCTCTCTCCCTCTCCCTCTCTCTCTCTCTCTCTCACACTCTCACCTCAATTTAGATTTCTTTTTTTTTTTCAGTTTAATTTTGATTTCCTTCTTAATCTCCAAACCTTAATCCTTGAACTCTTTTCTGATCCCCTCTTAATATTTTTTGACTTGCTTCTCACGTTGCATGCCGGATTTGCATGATTTTTAGTTTCGGGTATTCAAAATTAAATTATTTAGAATTTTTATTTTAAAAAATTTTGTTGATTTTGATGACATATACTCAAATTTCTTCACAAGCTGACAATTCCAGTCTTCTTTTTACCCTATCCAAGCATTGAAAAGATTTCTGGAATCAAGCCTACATTAATTGCTATTCAAGTTTTTGTCTATATCAATTGGAATCAGAGAAATCATTGTCCATATCAATTTAATATTAGAGCTGAAGGATCCTTATATGTGTGAAAGTGTTTTCCATCTAAAAATGGACTTCAGTGGATTGTTTGTGCTATACAGTAAATATTTTTCATTACAATGCCTTTGTTTTAGTAAGACCTGCAATGCTTTATGGCACAAAATGTTGGCCATTAAAAGGCAAGAATAAAATTAAGTGAAGTGTTGCAGGACGAGGATGCTTAGGTGGATGAGTGGCTTCTCTCTCAAAGACAGAATGCGAAACAAGTATATACGTGAAAATGTTGGAGTAGCTCCAGTGCCAAATAAGATTAGAGAGAGCCGCCTTACATGGTTTGGTCACCTAAAACGTCGGCCTTCCGATGACCCGGTTAGGAGAGTAGATGTATTTGATTTAGCCTATGTTAAGAAAGGTAGACGTAGACCTAAAAAGCCTTGGTTAGAAAATATTAGAAATGACATTTTTTTTTATTAGATTTAAATAAAAATTAGACTCTTAATAGAACACAATGGAAAAAAAGGATTCATATAGCCCACCTCATGTAGTGGGATAAAGCCTTGATGTTGTTGTTGTTGTTGTACAATACCTTTGTTTTCTTTTGTCTCTTTTTAGGACACATCTCCATCAACCTATCCTAAACTGATTAAAACCTAAAAAGTATCACCATCTTCATCCCAAATCTTTGGTTATAATGATGATTTACTTGCTGATTATTATCAGTAGGTTGTAGGTTATTGCCACACCTACTACAAAAGATATATTCCTCTCTATTTGCTAAGATTCTGCGTCTGTTATGCCTGTATGAATGCCTCTTCATGGTCCTTATCTAATTTCTTATCGTAGACATATCAAATCATATTTTCAAAAAGGATTATTCATATTATTATCATGATAATGATAACTACTATGATGAGTTTGGACAATATTGATCTCCTTGATCTAAATATTACCCACAAACCCATGATCAATGTGAAGAATATATTAATCATTACTCTCCTCAGTTTATATATTACAGACCATTTTAAGATCGTTATCAATATGATGAGTATTGTGACAATCAATATTCCACTTCATCTTATGTTTGCTCAAGTCAATATTAGTATCAATAACAACCACAGTAATTTATATACAATATTACTAAGAATGAACATACAAGCTAGAAATTTCTACTATAGCTGCTATGGTAAGAAACAATGCAACCATTAGATACTTTATGACCTTGGACATGACCCATTAAAGATAATTTGTGAGAGTGATCCAGCATCCACAAATATCGATGGATATCTTGAGCTATTAATGATGAGGATGAGCTTGAACTTGCGGCCAATAACCTTGTGCATGCTAAACTTTCTCCTCTCAAACGCTCATCTTCCTCCTCTTTATCAATAGAGGTAGATGCATGCCTCTAATGAATGAATGGACAATACCACCTCTTTCTATACCCCACTCTCACTCTCTCTCTCTCTCTCTATATATATATATATATATATATCTCCCTCTCTCTCTCTCTCCCTCTATTGGTAGAATTATATATTTCTTTTTCTTACTTCTGTGAAATGATGGAAGGCTAATAATTGCTTATCACTTCCCTGTCTGAACCCCATCATATTTGAAGGGGATGCTGTCTTCCCTCTTCTTCTTCTTCATTTAGTACGTTATGTGGGTTTAACAATCATCAGTTTATTGGGGTGATGAAAAGTCAATAAGCAACAATTGTTTCAGTAAGTGTTTGGATATTGACAACCTGTCCGTTTTATTTCTTTTACACTTAATAACCTTGATAATTAGCGGTGAGTTTTATGATCAATAACTGTAGAGAAGAAGCTTTTCTCGAACAGAAAACTTCTGATATGGAACAGTTGTGGATGCATAAATTTCAGGTGTACAAGTTTTTTTTTTATTTCTACCTCATGTTTCTATGATTTAAGGTATTATAAGAACAGATGTTATAAAAACATAAAAAATTAAAGGATGTTCAAATGGCCCTAGAGTACACTAATACAAAACGACTGAAATTTAGACTTGGTAATGATAAAAAAATTGTTAAAATTCAGTTAGTAGCAGATGCGATGATGGGTAACCAACAAATCCTATCTTCCATGGGCATGAAACTTGCCAAGTTGTTATAAGTTCCTTAATATGGCAATCTTGTTTATTGAGAAAAATGTTTTTAAGTGGACTAGAAAACAGAAGCAATAATAGCTTAGAAGTTTGTGCTTTAACTTCTAATGGTATTTTTGTTTTTGTTATGTTTATTATGTTCTTATTGAAATGGAAAAATTTTTAAGGTGAACTGGTCATAGTAGTGTATACTGAATGCCTGGGTGCTAGTTGGATTCAACTATTATTAACACAAAATTAGAGGAGATTTCAAGCATTATCAACTAAATATCAGCTTGTTAAAACCAGTTATTTAAGTCCAAAGTCCTTACTTTCAGAATTCTAGTATTTAGAAAAATCTATCCAAATCGGGGGATCTAAGGAAATAACCTGATCTTGCTTTAAAGCTGGCTGAAACCAACTTGAAATCAATTGGTTTCTGGTAAATTTAAAACCCTGATTCATGGTATTCCAAAACTCTTAGCAGTCCTAATTGAAATCCTGGTGACAGATGAGTTCTGAAGTATTAATGGTGAATAATAAAATCTTTGTGATCTGTTTTGGATTCTTCTTAAAATCATCCTTGAGAAAGATTTCTTTGTTGGATATAGGTTTGGTCGAGAATGGAAGAAAATTGAAGATTTTGTTGGCACAAAGACAGTGATACAGGTAAACATTTAATAACTTAGCTCCCATATTTGATGTAAATTCATATAGTCAATTTCCTATTTATATGCTTTTATTGTTTTCTTATATTGGTACAAATGTTGCAATAGAAAATGTCAAAATAGTCCCTAGATTATTTATGGGAACTTATTTCGGGGCCTTAAATATTAAATGTGCCCAATTTAGTCCCTTGATTGTTTAAATCAGATCCAAAATAGTTATTGACTCAAATTTTATTCAAATAATCCAATGGAGGGATTATTTTGAATTATATTTCAATGGATTAAATTGCACACATTATATATTTGAAACTATAATGTCTCTATTTAAATTGTCCAAGATCATTTCCTAATATTATAATGTACAAATACTTTGGCTTATGAATTCAATAAAATTAAATACTCACATGATTGCTCGTAGGACTTTAAACTACAGGCTTATGATTTGCATAAAATTACATGTTTTTATGATTTATAGTATGTCTTCTAATTAAAATTACATCTTTTGACATCTTCTAAGCATGCAACAATGCTATTATGTAAATTCTGCATGTATGAATGTAATTTTTAAGAAAGTGCAAGCTGATTGCATGAAATTTTGTTTTAGTGACTGTTGTATGGGAACATAATAAGAGATTTGTGGAAGCTTTAAATAGTTGAAGAGGAGGGAAGAAGACAAGAGATGAAGTAACCCATCATACAACTTAGGAGTAGGTAGAAACCATACAAAGCATCAAATTCATTTAACATCAAAATGATGAGGACATCAACAGGAGATTCTGGCGCGTCTATCACAGGAGGAATCGAAGATCGACGGCTACAATTAGGAGTCTTTATTTATGATGGATTTTATGTATTTCTTGTGCTTATGTTTTAGTCTTTTCCATTGTACCCCTATGCGGGATCAGTTTGTGTTGTAGCCCATATGACATTTTAGTCTTTGAGTCTCTTGTATTTTGAGGCCTACATATGGAGGCCTTCGCTATTGTAGAAGGTGATGATTAATGAGAGAATTTTGCATTCTTGTTCTCATGAGTGTTGAGAGCTCTAAAGAGAGGAGAAGTCCCTAGGTGAGGGCGAAAGCAACTCCCGCCAGCCACAGGAAGTGTCCGAGCTCTTGGTTTCCCCTTCCCCTTCCTTTCCTCCTCCCTCCTCCTAACCGAAACCACCCCTCTCCATCCCCCCCCCCATACCGTCGGCTATACCCAAGCCAATTTCCCTCACTGCCGGCTGAGCCCCTTCCCCCACCTTGCCACCGGCCAAGTTTCCCTCCCCCTTGCCGCTGGCCAATCTCCCTCCCCCACCTTGCCGCCGGCCAACCCCTCCAATCCCCTTGGCTCCAATTTCAAATTGGCCCATTACTACTTTCCTAATTTAATTCAAGGTATTTTAAGAAAAACAAAAATTTGAATTTCAAATTAATTTGAAATTCCGATTATCCCTCATATTTTGGATTAATTAAGAAAGCTCCCTCCATTACTTTAATTTGAATTTTAAATTTTGAAAGTCCCTTAAATCCTTTCCTAATTTAAAGCCCCAATTAAAGAAGTCAATTAATTCACCCTAAATAAAGCCCCATCATTGGGCCGCCCCCTCTCTCCTCCTCTCTCCCCCACTTATAGCCCTTCATAATTGAACCCCAATCAAAACCCCCCTTCTAAGGACCGGCTGCCCCCCCCTCCCTCTTTATTTTTTGAATTCAAATTTGAATTCTCTCCTCTCTCTCCTCTCATTAACTCCACTAATTAATTACCCCGCTCCGGAATAATTGTGGGAGTTAATTCTCAAATCCTCACCGCCTCTATTGAATCTCTCTCCTCTTTCTCCATACAAGCCGCCAACCACCCTAGGCCCCTCTCGGAATTGAAAGAACTTTCACTGTCCATGGATGGCCGACTCCAAGCACGATCATGGATAATTCGTCTTTGCCCCTCAAGGAGTGGATGTTCATCGGTCGCCCTTCTTCGACATCAATTTTGAGATCGACAACTCCGTCGAAGACTACATCGATCGGATCTTCTTTTCCTTAACAACTGCCATCGACGAGCATTAACTCCCCTTAAGTGGCAAATCCTCCAACATCCACCAGCTACCTCCTTGTTGACCTCAACGGTTAAGACAAAGAAAAAGGAAGAATAAAAAATGCCTAAAATCATTACCTGTGCGTGAAGCCCATCCCGAATCCCTGGCAAAAATCCTGCTTACACCCTATCGGCAGTCTGCAACGGCGCCGAAGTGTCTCCTCGCATGTCTTGATCGCACGCCTCGAGTCCGCCTCTGCCTCCGCCTTTAAAACGCGAACGAAGCGTTCGTTCTAAGAGCACTTCTTCCCACAGCTCTCCACGATCGAGCTCCCATTTGCGAGCCTCTCTGCCCTGTCTTCCTTCTCCGACTAAACCCGACGCCCAGCTCTCGCCTTCTCTGCCTCCTGCTCCTTCTGATCCACACAGAGAGAGAGAGAGAGAGAGAGAGAGAGAGAAGGAAATTTCCCTACCTCTATCCAGCCTAGCTTCCCTCCATGTCCCCACCTCCTCCGATCTCCCAAGCAGCCGAACCCGTCCTCCTCTACCTAGCGTGCCGAACTCTTCTTCTCCCGCCGGATACCTTCGCCGATCCTTCCCCCCCTTTTGTCCGACGAACCAAGCAGGGAGCAAGCTTGCTGTAGGTAACCTCCCTTATCACGTCATTCGCATCCGTGGAATTCAAGCCAAATGAGGAAATGGGGTTTGTTCCTACCGTAACTTAATGGGAATTCAAACAAGGATTAGCATGGATCCTGTACGAAAGTCTTGCTTGAATGCTAACTAACTTAATTAAATTAATTTCATTAGATTATATTAATTACTAAGTGATAATTATGATTAGTTGAAATCAATTATAATTAGTACTTATTTAATCTATAATAATTCAAAGTAAATATAATTAATTATGTTTAAATATGATAAATTATAAACTAGTTCTTTATAATATATGGTAAAAATATTATTGAACAAATTAATTTTAAACCAATATAATTAATTATATATTAAAATGTAATTAATTATAATAAGTTTCTAATTAATTATAAGTCATATTTCATTAATTTATAATTAATTTAAAATTAAATATGATTAATTATATATTAAATATAATTAATTATAATTAGCTTTTGATTAATTATAAATTAAATATAGTTTATTTATAACTAGTTTTAAATTAAATATAGTTAGTTATGATTTAAATATAACTAATTGCAATTAATTTATAATTAATTATAAATTAGATCCCACTAATTTGTAATTAATTTTAATATTAAATGTAATTAGTTATATATTAAATGTAACTAAATATATTTAATTTATGATTAATTATAAGTAAATACTTCCCTTCCCTCAATCCTCGAGCCAACGTCGTCGACGGCCAAGGTATAACTCCTAAACCCTAAAACTCCGAGAACTCGTTTCAACGCATTCGTCGAGACAAAACGACCACCTATGCACGCTTTTCTTAGCGTGGTGGGAGGGAGTGCGTCCCGACGCTTGCGACGAAGCGGGTAATCACCTAAATCTCTCCTTCGAAGTTCGTATCGCCACGGATTTCCCCGCCTATACACGTTTTTCTTACCGTGGTGGGATGGGAACCTAGTGCGATACGCACGACGAGGCGGAATACCCATAAGTACCCGCTTGCAGGGAAATAACTGTTTTTATTGGAAAATACTTAAAAAAAATGCTTTTCTTGCAAAAATATTTTCAAAAAAAAACCCATGCACGCTTTTCTTAGCGTGGTGGGGGATCGAAAAATTACACGGCCACGGTGTCCTCGAAAGAGGGCATCTACCATGCACGCTTTTCTTAGCGTGGTGGGAAAGGCCCAATGTTTCCGTAGTTTTCCCCTAAACGGAAGAGACGCCAGAAGGCTGCCGAAAATTCGGGTGAAATATTGCTACATTTGGATCTCATTTGAACTCAAGAGAATAATTTAGGACTTGGACTTGTTTGCACTTGAATGACATGCAAGAACAATGGTGAACTCGGACTTGTGAACTTTATTGCAATAAAGCTCAAATCTAAAAAACAAATCCAAGCTTAATTAAAATCATGAGGACTTGAATTAAAACTTGGATTCAAGCTTAAATAAAAGATACAAGTTGACCACTTGGAATTGTACTCAGAACTTGAACCAAGTTGACAGCACTTGAACTTAAACTTCAAATGAAATTGAACTGGACTCAAGCAGGAACTCAAACTCTGACATTGAACTCTACTTGAACAAAATGGAACTTCAATCAAACTCAATCAAGAAGAACTTGATTTGGGCTCAGACTTAAGTTGAACTTAACAAAATTGTTTGTGGAATAAATCTTGAAATACAACAAGGCTTGGGTTTGAGTCTCATTTGACTCAAAAGAGTCATGATTCGAATTATTTGAACTCAAATTTGGAGCAAAACTTGAACTAGACAAACTCAAACTTGAGTCTGGACTTGATTTTGATGATGACCCAAAGAATTTCAAATGAACCATATAAGATCTAACTTGTATAGATTACAAGCGACAAGCTCCTAACAATTAGATACATTTGTCTCCTACAAGTTGGGGGATTCGACATGCGATGAACTGAAAGACATGATGTGTTTTGAATAATTCAAAGAGGACACTCCAACTATCAATATCAAAATTCAAACATACAAACTGATCTGCAAACAAACAAATCCTACATGTACTGTTGGAATCCCCTACGATAATCCCTACGAATGCCTGTTGATTGAGAAGGCAATACGGGAGACCAACAATAAAAAAGATCCGTTCTTACAAACAAGTGCAATCTCAACAAATCCCACCTGAGATTGGTGAAAGGGTGGATATGATGCAAAAACAATGGTTCTTCTACGAACATTCCTAGGAGCTCATAGCAAACACAACGGATCCCTACAGACAAATACGAACCACCGTGGGCATAAGTGCCGCGTCATCTACAACAACGTTGATTAAGATCTACAAGCACGTTAGGTACAAAGATAGCT